TCCCCAGGTCAGCACTTCTTATCCGTCCCTCCTCAAAGTTACACACAGAAGAAGAGTTTGTGGATTTCACGCACAGTGGTTTTGGAGAACTACGTCCCTGCCTGCCAGGACTGAGGTCTGGATCTTTACGTGATTTTTCTTGGAGCTGGCAGTCCTTCAGATGTACTACAAGTCAGTCTTTGATAAGAAACTATCCTTCCTCTCCTGGAGAAAGTAAGTGCCCAAATCTCCCAGAGCCACAGTTCTAAAGCAGGGGATCTGTAGAGAGCAGGGATTCCCAGAGTCTCCTACCACTGAGCATCACACTAGTAAGCCACGAACTATTGCAAAGCTGGATGTTGGGGAAAAAAAAGAAAAAAATCAGAACCCACCATCGTTGGGAGCTGTGACTGCCGCTTCCAACATGTGAACAGCACAGCTCTCTGTTTGCAATGGTGGTGTCTGCAAACACCTGTGGTAGAAGACTGCTAGGAAGCTGTTGACAGACTTATCCCTCTCTTGCCTGTTCAGCTTTATGCTGCAGTGTGACTTGAGAAAATTTACCTCATTTCTTCTTAAAGTGTATTAGTCTGTTTGGTATGAGCAGTGGTGAGGTTTCTGAAAAGGAAAACGTCAAGTCATGCGGTAGGGAATGGGATGTTAAGTAGTTTCTGTTCTTTCTGCTTGCATAAATTGGATTCGTGCCGGACTCTTTGGAAAAGGCTTAGGGTCGCCACACCTTTAGCATGAAGGAAATCAAACAGCTGAGGGAAGACGAACTGAAAAAAGTTGAATTAAATGCAGCTATCGCTTCTGCTTTATCAGACTACATATTCTCCCCTTCATCTTGTCGGTCTTTTTATGAGGTGGAGCGGTCTGTGCCACGCTCCTGGGGACTGAACTTCACATCCAGAGTCCTCCTTCCCTCCTCACCATGGGCCGGACATACAGGGTGGTGCTACGCCTCTTCTTTGTCCTCATTGCTGTTGACTCTGTGCTGCTGTCATCATTTGGAGGGCTTTTTTCTTATTTTTATTTTTTTTTCTACTATGTCTTTTCCTCTTTAAGATGCTCTGTGATCAGTAGGGTGTTTGCTCAGTTTTGAGCCAAGGGGAGAGCAGAGTCCTTTGACAACTGAGTCAGAAGGAGGCCTTTACTTTCAGGCTATAGTTTCTTGACTTCTTGCTATGTGCCTGCTGGTGGTCAACCTGTCCTCCATGCTCTAATGCAGTATGAAATCCTGGGGACAGTGTTTTCTTACATTTCTTGAGTACGACTAGAAAGTCATACCTAAGACACTAGACAGGTTACCACCATTCTGCTCTGACATGGCAAATCACGGTGTTGTTAGCACACCTGTTGCCCTAAAATTTAACATACTTTTTGCTTTGTCTTTGCCAACATCACTCTTTAAAGGAAATAGATTCTATATTTAAACTCAATTCATAAACTGTGTAAATGGTTGTATGCTAAAAAAATTAGTAAAAATATGTATTACAAATATTCTAAAGTGAAATTACACAGATTTTCCAGAGCTCAAAAGTTGCATTACTTTGAAACAACAGTAGGAGTGTAAGAAATATAAACTGGCTTGTAGATGTTCCGTGGTACTTAAAGAGAAATGTAGTTAAGATTGGCAGCGTAGCATTTCAACAGGTAATAAGCACCTGTCACCTTGAGTGAAGCTCAGAAATATCTCACCATGGTATCTTCATTATAAGCATCAGCTTTTCTGACTAAGGAATATAAGTTGGTAAAAAAGTATTTAAGCTAACCTTTCATGAGTTTAACAATGGAGAGCAGGATCACAGAGGCACAGATTTTTTTTCTTTACTGTACTTGCACTTAGTAAAGCGAAAGACTCATCATGGTACAGGTCTACATATTGACTTCTAGACACCTGTTTTCTACAACCTAGTGTCCTGTGTTTTCTCTCAAGCTACAAAAAACTCAGCTGCATGCCACACATCTCACAGATGAGTGAAAGTACTCTCAAGCCATTGATGCACACACCATATGCTACAAGCGTGCAACTTGGTAAAATAAAACATCACAAGATTCATATTGTCTTATCTTTCTTGTAGTATGTAATGGTTTGACATAACACCTACATGTGGATTCATACAGTAATGATGATGTTGCATATATGCATATGTAAGTATCTAACATCTGCATTACATCTTTTGCTAGCCCCTACTGTACTATTAATTCAATAAATAAAGCCAGATTTTCAAATCTGTTCAGTAAATTAGGCCTATCAATGATTCTGGAAAGGTCATAATAAGTTTGATCTATAGCTCTGCATTGGACAAGTAATGTACAAGTGACACTGAACTTGACAAACAATCTGAACTTGGAAGACTTTGCAATAAAAACTCACTGAAATATAACTATACAATCTCAACAGACTGCTGTCACAGATGTTTTTCATGTTGGGTAGATGAACCAGTGTTCTGGTTTCAGCTGAGATAGATAGAGTTAATTTTCTTTCTAGTGGCTGGTATAGTGCTGTGTTTTAGATTTAGTATGAGAATAATGTTGATAACACACCGATGTTTTGGTTGTTGCTAGGTAGTTGTAGTCCCTACACTAAGTCAAGGCCTTTTCAGCTTCTCATGCCCTGCCAGGTGCACAAGAAGCTGGGAGAGCACAGCCAGGACAGCTGGCCCAGACTGGCCAAAGGGATATTCCCTGCCGTATAACATCGTGCTCCGTATGGAACTGTGGAAGTGAGCCGGGAGGTGGGATTTGCTGCTTGGAAGCAGACTGGGCATCAGGTTGGGTTTTTTTTCCCTTCTGCATGTGGTGAGCAATTGCATTTGTGCATCACTTGCTTTATTATTATTATTATTGTTATTGTTATTGTTGTTATTGATGTTGCTGTTGTTATTATCTTCCTTTGCATCCTATTAAACTGTCTTTAATCTCAACCCATAAGGTTTTATTTCCATTCTCCTCCCCACCTCTTTGAGGGGGAGGGGTGAGCGATCGGCTGCATGGTGCTTAGTTACCTGCTGGGGTTAAACGCCGACAAGCAGGCTATTGCATTGAGTCTCTGTCCATTGCTTTGCCTCTCATTGCTCTGAGCCTTCAGATTCAACCAGGATTGTAACAGGCTTAAGGTCTCCAGACAGATCGTCCTGGCTCACCTGTTTAGGACTTCCCCTAGCTAATTCTAGCTGCCTAGGCTTGGGGTTAACTCCTGAGTTTCTCTGAGTCTTAAGCATGGGCTCTCCCAGGACACTCACACCAGGACACTGGTTTTCTAACTAATAGGAAAACCTTCATGAATACACGACAGTAAAAGACTCCACATTTTGTGTGGTCATAAGTCTGGTGAATCTGTTTACGCTGATCATGAAAATAAACTGGACTAGGAAAAAGTTGTAAATACTTTACAAATTTTCCCTCCTGTCTGATTACTCCAAATCACTCTTGAGACTAAGACGAAAGTCTCTGAAAAAATTCAGATCATCCGGAGCACACCTTCGTTTACCTTCTGAACAACTAAACTTGTCAGTCCAGATTGCTTTCAACTCTTTTTTTTTAATTTTTTCTTCCTTTTTTTTTTTTTTTTCCCTTTTTTTTTTTTCTGTCCTGTTTTGGAAAATTTCTTTCTCTGTTAAATTGTTCTCCCAGCTAGAAGCTATGTTTTGTGTTCAGGTATTCCCATCTCTAAAGACCAATCTTGAGACGAAATGTTTCCGGCTTGGAAAACAAATGCAAATGCCTTGTTAGCAAAGGTGAATTTATAGAGATATTCAAAACATGCAGCAAGTTCATGACTATGTATTATCAACCAGAACTGACAAGTTTTGTATATACAAATTTTGTAGATTCTTGCAACTCCATCCAAATATTTTTTATTCTAATACCTCTTTGTAAAGGAAGATCTTATTATTGATAGCCAGATCTCATCCAATACAAAAGGAAATTTTCTCTCATGAAATCAGCAGAATTAATCTTCTCTAACCCTCCATAGGCCTGGGCCCCAAAGTCACAATACTATGGTTGGCTTACAGTCATTCAGAACTCCTATGAAATGCATTGAGAATCAATGATGTAAACCACTGAGAATATAAAAAAAAACCCAACAAAACAAAAAACAAACAAAAAAGCCACCATGTTGGGATACTGGGGACAGCCCACTTATTTCCAGTAAAAAAAGGTATTTCTATATAGCAAAATGAGGTTATGAATGCAGCATAAATTAACATATCAGGTTCATTTAATCTAGCATGTTTAACACAACCTATGTTGCTTCCTGTTCCCTCTGAGTATTCCACATCAGAGTCAGCACAAGGATAACAGCACACCCTACAATCATATCTTTTTCCAGACATGCTTGCCTTTTGTTTGTAAAATATGTCTCCCAAAGACTTAACATTTCACTTATATTTCAGGGTACTCCCAGATTTGCAGATGGATCTATGAACATTCTTCTATTTAAAGGATGTCTCCTGAATTTTGGGGGGAGACAGTGCTAGTGTTCAGAAGAATATGATAAACAGTGTTGCTAGCACAAACAGTTCCACTGAAGTTCCCCATCATCTAGGTAAACTCATTCATTTGTTCTTGCTTTTGACAGAATAAGCCCTCAGACTATACTACCATAGTTTTGGAACTCTGCAAAATTAAAGTTAATCCACGGCTCTAAATCTCCCTCACTATGTGAACTTCTGCATAACTTTTTTTTCCCTCCCCCCCCCAAAAAATTTCCCCAGAAAACTGAAAAGCTCAAACTTACTTGCTGCATTGTAGGTGAATGTAAAGCAGACTGGACCTGCATCGGTAGCTGGTTTCCAATGGACTGCTGCATTGAAATTGGCTGGTGTTGCTGGATGTTGAGATGCTGGTGCAGAGGAGGGCTGATCTGAAGAGGTGGCGGTGGGGACACAGCCATGTTTGCTATGGAAACAGTCACTGGCATTTGGTTGTTGGGCTTGGGCGCTATGTTCCTGGGGATATTGGCATGCATGGCAGTGATGTGAGGATTCATTCCTGGTTGTTGGTGGTAGTGGGAACTGAGGTACAGTGCAGAGTGAGCCTGGGCAGGCCCATGAAACACCGACTGCTTGGAATTCATCATCTGAGGTTGCGGGGAGGCTTTAACATCAACAGGTTCATTGTAGCTCTGTTGAGAAAAACAAAAAACAGACAATACTTAGAAACTAGAAACTAGGTTCTCCCCCCTGACGTCTCTTTAAGATTCTCACCGTAGGAAAACGCATATCTGGACCATCAAATTGTCCTTGATATGGAATTTGGTTATGACACTGGAAAAATAATGAATCCCTTTTTTACCTTACGCATTACCCTTCAGCATTGTAAAAAAAAGCATTTCGCCCCTCTGCTTCCTGGTCTGGCCTGACATTTTGCTTTTTCCAAACTTGGAACTGGCATCACTGACCTAATAACCTACACAACAAAGACAACTAAGCCTTGTCACATTTGTTCACATAAGCAGACACTACCATTGTCATAAAATTTGATGGCCTAGTTGAAAACGGTTTCAGGAGGGTTGGTTCCAGCAAGAGTCTGCAGTGATCTTTGACATGTCTCATTTTCCCATCTGCAAACCAAGGATAAGAATTTTAGGGTCCTTTACCATACACATTGATAACTGATAATAGTGCTTTTTCAGTTAGCCAAATTGATGAAGAGGCTAAACCCCATCCACAGTTGTTCTAATGCATTGAATAAATTTGCTAGTTGCTGTGCTGATACCTTTATTATGAAGTATTCTCTGCTGGGATGCTCTCCATGCCTGTTTCAACCACGTTTCATAGCCATGCATTCAGAAAAATAAATAAAAATATTCTGAATCATTTCACTTTTAGCAAAACTTTCTTTGTTAATCCAGTTCATAAAGTTCTGAAAATTCTGTTTAAAACTGATGTTTATATAAATGTTAGACTGCATCAGACACAGGGAAGTTATTGTGCTAAAGCTGGAAGTATACTTCACAGAATATTAGAAAATGCACAGATTTTCAAAAATGTTATGGTCTACCCTGATTTTTTAAAGCTGCTAGTAATAAAAAAATTCCATTATTGAATGTGAATTTCCATTTGTTCTAATATTTATAACGTGTTAAATTTTATTTGAACTCAATTTGTTGTTTTCCATACCCTTATTTTCTTAGATCTTCTGAAGGCTAGCTCTGTGTGCTCAAATAAATGATGAAAAAAATTTAATAATTAACTCCCATAAGCTTATAGGTGGGAATCATAATTTGCAGTTTAAGTCATACTGGGATTAATAGCCAGTGAAAGGTGAAACATGCTGGAAAAAAATGGCAGAAATGTCCCTCTGGAGAAAGAAGTCACTTTGTCAAAACAAGGGCTGAAAAATGCATATATGCCCTTATTCTGTGACCTCCATGTCATGTTTGCTCAGTTTACAAGTCAGAGTAAGTTTCATGTTACTCTCAGCACTCCAGGGTCAGTGAAGTCTATTTGTATTCTTTCTGAAGGATGTACCATCACCAAGAATCCGCTGACACGCACGTTACTGAAATTGCTTCATTATATGCGATGATAAAGATGAGAAAGATAACTTCATTTTCTCTAAGTGTAACTGCAGTACCATTAGCAAAAAATCTTGTTTTCTCCAGTAAACTAGGGGAAATTAAATGAATATGATAAAATGAATGCAAATCTCTGCCTCTGTGGATCTGTCTGGCTCTGCTCGCATGTGGATGTCCATGTGTGCAATACGTACTATATGCATGTTTGCAGGATTCAGATACAGACATAAAACCCCACAGATAGTAAATGAGAAAAACCGAAAGTGCAAGATCTGCCTGGTTTTTGGTATTATTTTTAAAACACTGAACTAATGTTCATGATGACATGAAAATTATTTTCCCTCTCCCTTCCCAGTTGTATTTGTAGGACACTTCTGTGAATGTGGGAGCAAAGACTGGCAGGTTTACTGAAATATCAGAGATTCAGAAGAAAGTTTGCTAATTAGCAGCACGGTCAGGACCTTCCTCTCGAGTGTCCTGGGTTCTTTACACATTACAGGAAGTTTATGCTTTGTTCTTTCTTAGGAAACTTGAAGTTTTACTGAGTGCATCATCCCCTCATGAAAACCCCTTGCCTTTCCATGATGAAGCTGAAGGCTCTATCTGGTCCGAGCAGAGATAATTGCGCCTGAAGTGTCTAAGGGCAGATCAGTTAAACAATTCCTCCTGGTGAGGAGGTATAAAAAAGCCTTTGCGGCACTATTTGTGACATACTGATACATACTTATATTTCATTTGTGACTACAAAGATGCTGCCATACACCTCTCTAACAAAGATACAGTGAACCAATTTAATTATTGAATAATTCTGAGTTGACACATATGTGGTGAATGCATGGCCCATACTGATAAAATTACAGAGATATCAGATACTTAGTATCATTTAATACTTGAATTACCAAATTATGTTAAGAGGAATTGTGCGGTCTTGGGCTAGAGATGAATAACATTTGCTTTACCTCTGAGAAGAGTGTCTGCAAAGTGATCAAAAGGGACCGTTCCAGCTGTCTCAAGCTATCAATCAGCTTTCTCTCTGTTTCACTACCTCCTGATCCAATGAAAAGCAGAACACTTCAGTTTCAAACAAAGTATTTTGCTGTTACTTAGGACACTTTAAATCATATGTGATCTGAAGCCAAATTGTCCAATATCAGTGTAAACCACATCAATATTATCAGTTACTGGCAATCTTGATAAATGAACCCATTAAATGCTATTCTCCAGCATACTGCACTTTCAGCTTTTTCTAAGGGTGGGTCAGAAACCGAGATTTTGTAAGCATTGGTGAAGCTAATGGAATAGGTGATGTCAAATATTTTGGCTTTGTTATGTTGCTTTATTGACAAATATACTGAAAGGTGTATATGATGCATAGGTCACGTTATTATTTTAGGCACAATTACTGCTTTCACAGAATTGAATGGGCATTGCACTTGTCCAGTACTGCATCAGACAATCTTAGACAAGGACTTTTATTATGGGTAATACTAGGAATTAAGAAAGAAGGGATTTGATTAGCCAATATGGGCTTCAAGTTCACAGTCATTTTCCATAACTTTGCAGGCTGCAATTCAGTCAATTTGCTCGTGCCTTATCCAAGGGGAAGAGTACAGAAATAACCTCCTCTGTAGTTAATTAATCTGCCCAAAGACAACAAAGATAATTTACATCTCTTTTTTGGCATGAAGTTGTAGGATACAATTAATTTACGGATACAGGCAGTGGAGACGAAAATTACAAATCTGTACACACAGGCCATTGAACATTGAAGTCTAGTTTCTCCTATGTGTGATAAGGTCTTCTACTAGACATGCAATGAGAAAATCTTTTATCATTACTATCAGAACTATGTTATTGTAGACCCACCACTAGAGGGTGACAGAATATTATATTTAGTTAATGGTGGGAATCGGTATTGTAGATATACATTAGCAAAGGTACTCCAGGACCACAAACTAGCTTTTCTTGACAGTCCTTTATGCTCTCTGAGTGGCTTCTACTTGTTCTTGAGTTCAGCTCAAAGCCTTACTCTAAATCTTTCAAGTTCTTAATAGGCTAGGAGTATGGTTTCTTTTGGACCCGCCTCTCCATCTCACATCATCTTCTAATACTGTTGCCTAAATTAAAAAAAAAACAAAACAAAAACAAAACCAGAAGATGAAGACAAGGTAGGTAGGCCAAGGCAATGGAATGCTACAAAAAAAGTATGACTGCCCTTAAGGCACAATACAAAACCACCTTCATTTTTCCTGCAACAGTCTATTTTTTTTACTGACACATGAAGAAAAAGTGGGAAGAACATTTTGAAAACCCAACAGAAAGAGAATGAAAGTAGAAGAGAAATAGGGAAAGGAAGGAAACCAAATAAATGCTACTGTAACTGTTATGATAATTAATATATTAATTAAAAGTACTGACAAGTACAGCCTTGGTGTGTGACCCTCAGTCCACAAAATGATTTTACTTGTATCATACTTTCAAGGAAATGTGTAATGATACAGATGAGTGATGTTCTTCAGAGAGAGTTGATCATTTTGCACAAAGTTTGAGAAGGGCTGAATCAAGTTCTTCCCCCCACTTTACACCCAACTCATGCCCTTCCTTCCAATTCTAAAGCAAAGCAAACTTTCCCATCTACTTTTTGCTCCCCTATTATGTGCCAAAACTCCTTGTGCTTATTTGCCAAATTAAATAATTAAATTAGGTTAAGAAGTTAAGCGTTGCTCAGCCAGTTGTAGTATTCTTCTCTAAGTAAAACTGCCCTGGTACTAATGGTCCTTCTTATCACAGACTGAATTCAGGCACACAGCAGGATGTCACTTCCGTAGAGGAAAGTGACACTGGGATTTCCTTAACCCCCAAACATCTACCCCACTCCTACAGCTGAGAAATTTATTTTGGATTTGAGCAGACATCCTGCTCAATTTAGTGGTGCCAGAGAAAACAGCAATAGCCTAGTGATGCCATTCTGGCATCTGCATGGCTTCCTTTGAGATATCATTTTACTTCCATGTTGAAAAGTAGTTGCATTTTGAACCCTCACGCGTAGATCTGGGTAACCAAACTGGTTTTGAAATCTACACATGGGTTTTGATTCCCTTTCTAACTTGTGTCTGCCTTCTGGCTACTGTTGGCTTTTCTAACCCCACTTCTGTTGGAACAGAAACAACATTCATGTGATTGATAGTAAAGCATGGACGTGTTTTAACAAGGCAGTACTCTAAGGGCCTGATCCTTAGACGACTGAATTTAATGGAAAATCTTCTATTAACTTAAATGGAATTTGGATCTGAGCCCAACATTGTTACTTCAGTATTACTGTCTGGATGTCTACTTCATTTTTCATGAAAACCAGGTAGGACCCGGCTAACAGAGGCAGAGAACATCCCAATTGTTGACCACTACTTTTGACCTGTGTTTCTTTAGAAGCATACCTACTGCCTATACTTACTTCATTTTGCTTTTTTAATATGTTAATGCAGTTATTGTTAGAAAAGTTGCCAGCAACTAGGGCCATATATATATACACACATATATATATACACACATACACTCTAATGTACATGAACATCTTCAATTTACATACTGTATACATGTTATATATT